TATTAAATAATATTTTATTTTACCAAGACAACGTTTTTAGCTTTTACTTTTCATTACCTATATTACATTTTGAACTTCCAACAACTGCAAAAATTGTTAAGTATTAGTAGGTAAGATATCTACTAATAAAAATTTAATTCTTATGAAATTAGTTTATTTATAACATGATTCATATAATATAGTAGATATGTAAGTTTTATGTTATTTAAAAAATTTCAATGTTTCGATATTTTTGGCATTCTTATATATCAAACTGACTCATATTCAATTAACTCATTTTTGTAAGCTTGTCTAGGTAAATACGTAAAAAATAATAATTTTCATAATTTGCTTTGAACGGTTCGTTTGAACTCGGATATAAGTTTCCAGAATTTTTTTTAGKTAAAATTAATGATAGATACTTTCCATCAAATGCCTTTTTTATTTAATTAGTATATCAAGTTTACTTATGATCTTAATACCTCAAAGTATAAAAATAATAGAAGTTAATAATAATTGTATAATTCCCTTCCTCTCCAACCTTCGTTGGGAAAAATCTGATACGCTTTGGCCAATATTTTTTTAGATAGGGATAGAGAGATARATAATGACATTGAATATTTTATATAATAACTATTTTAAATATTATTGAAATTCAAAGTACCATAATATAATATTATACTTGAGATGGATCATTGTGTAGATGATTTAAGGTCATAATTTTACAGTTTTTTAGGTTATTAGGAACCAGTAGGTATATCTACCAATGTATTCGGTATGCAATGTACTACCATCTTCATAGTAAATGTAAAACAAATGGGAATGGTAGGTACTCATACAGTTCATATGAAATTGACTCCACTGATGAAGTAGGTTGGTAGGTATAAGCGCCTACCCGAATTAAAACTCATTTGTTGTTTAAAATATTCTGCATTTGATTATTTCTGAGAAATAGCGATTTGTAATTAGTAACCACAGAAAAAAAAATGTTGCCTGAGAAATAATTGAATTTAGAGGATAACCGTTGATAAGTATTTTATACCAAATATATACTTTTTATTGATTTCTTGTTAAATGTTTATTTATGTGAATACCAGAAAAAAGCATAATAAAGCACAATTTTATAATAATCAATTGATGTAGTGCCATGAATTGTCATTCAACTTTTTGAGTTCTAATAACTTGAAAATTTGATATTTTTAAAATTATTACTATAAGGTATAATTAATTTAATTTTGAACCTAATAGCTACCAATTTAAATTATAACGCTGCAATGATTCAACGATTGTGTCTTGTATGCCATGTAAAAAAAATTCCACTACCTAATGTGATGGATACCACCCACTGTGACAACAAAATTAAATAATAAGCAGGTTGAATGGATTTTGATTTTAAAATTAAGATTTCTCCTCATCAAATTTTACATTATTATTTATTATTAGTATTTACTATTTAGTATAATCATAAACTCATAACCCATAAAACACAAGTGATTATACATTCAAAAAACTTAATTTAACATTTTTTTTTTCCTGAAAGCGTGTCCCCGGTGGCTTGAACTTAAGAATAGTAATTTAGGTGATATAAAATAATAACAAACACATGAAACTATAACATATATTTTTTTGAAATCCTCTTTCTGTAATAAAATTGAAATAAAACAAATTCAATTATTGTTTAACACATATTTTATATAATATAATTAATAACATATAATAATATATAATATATTATATATTTATATATATGAATAACCATATGTATATTGTTTATATTATGTATATAATATAAATTTATTTCAGAGTTAAGTATATTAAGCTTATTATCAACACTATACATAATATTTTGTAAATTTGATTTGTATAGACATTGGACAATTATTTGTTAAAAAAAAATATATTATAATATCAGGCCTACTCGCCTACAATAAACAATCATTTTTATATTTATATATTATTATGCTTCAAATTATTTGATAGATATAGTTCTGTTTTACATAAATATCTTATTATAATGTACAACATAAATATAATAACATTTCAAGTTATTAAAAACAATAATTCATCCCTGTTGACGGGTCTACCCTTAAAATGAGTTTACATTAAATATGATCAACAAATTTGATACAAGAACAGAAAACTTATAACTCAAGTAGATACATTACTAATTAGTGTATTACATGAGTATAATATTAAATTGAATTAAAATTTATGTTTAAAATCAAGTATAATACATTATTTTATGAATGCATATTATATCAAATAAATCTAAAAATTTTATTCTTCTTCAGACAAAAATATGTTTTTCAATTAGTTAAAAGTTTTTATTCTTGGTAGGTTATTACACTACTTCAAATATTATAATATTGTGTATGCTAAAAATGAAAATACTAATAAAATGCATCCACGTTTTTTTATGTACAAAAAATGTTTTATTACATCTGTATGAAAAAAAAATATAAGTTAAAAAAGGAATAATAAAATAATAATAGTAATAATAATCATAGTAGTAATAATAATAAAAATAAACCAACATGAGAATCAATAAAAATCTCTGAAATTATTCTTGAATGCAATCTCACTTAATTTTTGTTATGTACCATTTAAAAATGAATACTTTCATAGAAACAAAAATTAAAACTAATATATTGTGGTAAATAAAAAAAATTTAAATGACACGTTTAATGTTTATTTTAAAAATAAATAACACAACCGAAGTAGATAAGAGTGCGTTCACTTCACATGATTTTCTTCATTCACATTTTGGAAAATTRCTGGTTGAACTACTTATAACATGTTAATCCTAACAAAAGATAAACTCAACATTTAAATGACCCCTAATGAGATGAATAACCATTATAACTTTTTTTTTTTTTGAGTAATCCTGTGAAAAAAAATATGAATATGAATATTTGGTACAATTTGACAATAATACTTTTTTTCTGGTTTGTGTTTTGTTACAATCAATATCAAATCTATTAAAAGATAATCAACTTTAGTTGATTAAGAATAGAACACAATTTGTTTTTACTAAAGCAGAGAGTAAAGCTACATCATGCCCAAGATTAAAAATATAGTGACCAAATCTTGTTTTTATAAAAGCTAGTTCATTCCATGAGTAATAAATAAATACCATAATTCCTTGTATCACAATTAACAAAAATAAAACTATTGATTTAACTGCTCTTTGGCTTATTTTTAATAAATTATCAAGTACAATAATACTTTGTTAGATATTAAACAAACAAAACAAATATATACAATAAAAAGCTGCATTATTATAATTATAGTATTTAAAGACTTGATAAAATAAATGTTTAAGAATTGATACACTTCAGAAATTAATTTTCTCATACATCTAATATATGCCCAGCAGTATAAAATATTAAAAAAATTTTTTTTAACCACAATCAAAATATATATATATATAATAATTTTATAATAACATATTTAAGAGTATAATTTATTTTTAATTAAATGTCACTAGTTTAGGCTGTTGCATAAATGAAAATAACATAATATAAGTTTGACATAAATTACTTATAAAAATAATATTATTAAATCAAAATAATGAATTCACCTTAGTTGTTTAGACTCTTTATATAGAAATAAAATGGTYATCACAATTGAAACAATTGGCTAGCATTTATTAACATCAGGTGGTGTAGCTAGATATTCATCGGCTCTCTTATGATCATTTAATGCCCTCAAAGTGTATGTGTCATGTGGTAATTCAGATTTACGCCTCAATAAAGGTTTTTCTTTTCGATTTTTACGGTTCTACAAAAAAAAAAAAATGTGTATATAAATAATTTATTGTCTTAAGTATACGGAAATATTTATTAGTAAGTTAATATTACATCTGTATCGATATGATACTTGGTATCCTCTTCCAAAGTTTTCAAATCAATAGTCGGGTCTAAGTCGTTAATTGGTGACCTTGCAAGGTCAGTATAAAATGACAAACTATTATCAATAGATACTGTAAAATTGGGATTCCTTTTAGCCAACTCTTCAACTCGATGCCACTTTTCATCTCGTTTTTTTAACTTTTCCATTTCACTAAGAGGATAAACAAAACCATTGAGGTAAAAAAATGTAGTATAGTTATAAAATAATTAAATATACATACGTCTTCCTATCTTCTTTAAATTGTTGTGTGCACGAATGAAATAGTACAGGATTAGTTTCAGTAAATATTTTTAATGCATTGTACATTAGACCATGTATATTTCTGGAATAAGATAATAAAAAATATAATAATTTTATATTTATTATATATAATAATCATTGTAATATGTATATTGTACAGAATTTTAAATTGTTTAATAAATTACACATTTTTAAAAATCCCAGTAACACTTTTAAATAATTTAAAAAATAATTTTCCAAAATTAAGACTGAGACAAAGATGGTGATTAACGCTTTTAGAGGCAGAAATCAGCTAAACATTTAATGCTAAAGTACTTGAATTACATATTTTTTTAAAAAAAGGAAATATACAAACAAATATCATAAAACAAAATTATGAGCTTATAAAAGTAAATCCTGGACGTTATTCTGAATAGCTACAATGAATTAATTTTTGCTTAGTATATATAATTTTTAAGATTAATTACTTATTCCAATGAGTTTTAGAATTTTTGTATAACACTGGAAACATGATTGGCAAAATTTCATCAACATTTTCAGACATTAGTGACATAATATACTCATTGTTCCAAAAGTAAAGTGCTCTCTCTGCAACCTAAAATATAAATTAACCTTCATTAATATGATCCAAAAAATGGTATCTATTATTCATAMATTAAATAACACTTTAAATCTGTTACCAATAAAATAATGATATACTTATCATTGTTTATTTAATTTTATATATAATAAACATTTCTTTTATTATATCATTAAATAATACAATTATATTTATTTATTATTGTTTTTATATTTAAAATGTAGACGAGTGGATACCATTCTGTTG